TTCAGCAGTCAGCTAACCTGTAAATGACTTTCACAGAGCATAAAAGCACACTTGAATATCCCAGATTTTACATAGAAAATAGCTCAGGAAACTCAGACAAAGTCTTATTTCCCCAGAGACTCTAAAGCCATGTTTGCAAAGCCAATGTTAGACTTCCAACACTTTCTAGTCTTATATCTTCCACCCACATTCTTTATTAGATAGTAATTCTGAATGCTGTTGTTTGCTATGGGATCTCTAAGCCAAGGTCCCAAGGCAAAGAGAAGTATCAAAACTACAGTCATAGAAAGTTTCATCTTGCAAGGGAAAATGTTAACATACAAGCCCAGTTTTTTTTATATTTTTCATGGATTTTTTTTGTTCTTTTTTTGTTTTTGTTTTTTGTTTTTTAATCAGAAATAGAATGACTGATTACTTATAAAAAAAATATGCACTGTCTATTGGCAAAAGCCCTGATTAGTTCACAGGAGTCTCTATTGTTAGCAATTTAATTTCATTTCCACTTGAAATCAAAGCCTGTCCTTCAGTCTCTACTGTCCTAATACTTGACCTCCTGTTATTTTATTTTGTTTAATCTGATGAGAGCAAACTTTGAAAAATCAGGTTTCAGTAGAAGTGGCACTTCTGAGCACTGTGTAGATCTTTCCTTCACATAACAGTCTTGTCTGAAAAACAGTTCAACATGCCTTTTCAAGAAGGAAAAATGTGGAAAAGATGAGAGACAGGGTGTTTCTTTTGCCTATCACCAAGCTACTGGGTCATTTTCATGCAGAAAAAAAAAAAAAAATGCTGATTGGAGACACTCCAAACTCATGAATCTATTCTCTTTTAAACTGTACTGACTAGACCTGAACACATCTTAGCTGTCAGTAGGATGGACAACCTGGCAGATCCATTCCCTGTCCCCTCTGTAGCACAATTTAAAATATTGAATGGTTCAAGGCAATCTGTCAGGCTTTCAGGTAATGTAAGATGTTCAATTCGCACAAAGTTTCTTCTCACATACACATCACCTATGCACATCCTTTGTCTTCTTATTCTCATATTCTCTGTAGGGCAGACTTTGCAGCTCCTTCTAGATCCATGATCTTTACTACTGAGTCTTCCATATCCCATCCCTGTAGAAATAGTATTGTTTTGCTTGTTACAGATGATTTTCTGCGTCAGCCTAGGTTGATTAATCCAATAAACTCTGCACCAGCTGGACTGCCAGCACCCAGAAATTCTTAAGCTGATAGCCCAGGACAGATATCCACATCACCATCTTTGTCTACAATGTTACAAACATATTGTCTATGGAGAATCCTACAGCTGGCAAGGTCTGATAATGTAAAACATTCTTTTCTATCTCAAGTAATACTCTCTGGTCTGGGGACTAAAATCTTGCCTTCATTTTTTATTTCACCTGTTTACAGATAAGGACTACTGATTGCTGTTTATATGGTGCCCACTGTGATGGGATCAGATCCAGATGGCCTTTGACAATCACTTAATTCTTATCATGGGCCACTTCAGCCATTCTGATTCCATAGAGACTGGTCAACATATGAGACAGAAGGGTTTAAATAATTATTTGCTGTATTCTGATGGAATACTTAAAAAAAGAACAGAAAAGAAAATTAAAAAAAGAAATTTTTTCTCATTTGAGATCTTAGATTTTGAAATGTAGAAAGTTTCTCTGTGTAGTTATCAAATTATATTGTAGTTCAGTGAAAGAAGACTTTAAAAAAAAAAAAAAAAAGAACTAAAAACACATGGGTCTTTTTCTTTGCTAGTTCTGTCTGAGAAGTAGTTGCATTTGTTTGATTCTCCTGAAGGCTTTCTGTTTGCTACAAGTTACATAGACTGACATGGCATACAAAGCCTGGCAGGACATGAACTCTGCTAGTATTCCATAAGTTTATGTGCAGTTGGGACCATACGAAAAAGGAGGTGGTTACATTTCAGCTTGGATCACTTGCTCCCCCATGTTGGAGGTAGACTGCAGCTTCGCCCAGGTATGGAGAACAATCCCTCACTCTAGCAAAAGGCAGGAGCTCAGATCAGTTTTCAGTGAGACATGGAGGACATTGCAGGAAGGCCTCAAATTTCTAAGACCATTACAGAGTCAGGGCAAAAATCTCTTGTTTTCTAGACCCACTATGTGAATTGCCCTGTGCTATAGAAATATAAGTACTGTATATTGTAAAGAGAAAAATGTAGCAGAGAGATTCATTACTGTATGACAGAACATAACGTACTTGACAAAATATCACCTTGGTACTCAATCTTACCTGTCTGCTGTATCTCCCAGCAATATATGGAAGATGATCCCCACAGAGAGGTGTGAGGTGAAAATCTTTCACACAAGAGACACTGTGGATTAATTTAGTATTATCTTATCCCCAAGGACATAATGTCTTGAAATTCATATTCTCAGTACTGATAGTTTATATTGCCCTTTTTAATTCATACGGCACTAAATCCTCCTTTTCTCACAGCCACCTTTTGGGAAGGTTCAAGTTAATGCAACTTTGTAATCAGAGCTTCTAGAAGAGGATGCCCACTGCAATCTTCAGCATATACACAAAAAAATACTTCTCCTTTCAAATCTTTTCCCTGGTGGTGTCAGCAAGATTCAATTTGAATGACGTTTTTCCCTTGGGGCTGAGGCTAGGTCTGCTGTCTAATGAGCAGTACTTTGATAGGCCAGTGAAAAATCTAATGATATGGATTTAACTCTGTTGGACATGAGCACTATTAGGTTGTTTCTGAGATGTGGGAGTGTTGACAGTGTTTATGATAAATGACTCTCCTCAGTTATTCTTGTATGAATGCTCTTCTTATCCAAGTATCTGAAACATTTTAAAAAGAGGAAATACTCACAATGGATCGTATTTACTTATGAGTTCCCAAATATTGCATCCTAGGCATCTTCCTATCAAATCAATGGGCAAAATTTTGTATTCTTTATATTCTGTGTCAACAGAGTCACAACGAAATTTCCATGACAGAATGGAAAATGTCATATTCTGGTTGGGGTAGAGTTAGATTTATATTGTCTGAGGTGTTTAGTTACCTTTTTCACTGATTTAGCCCCAATGAGGAATAGTTTACGCTAATGCTGAAGAGGAAAAGACTGTGTTTCTTGTTGAGGGAGCTAGCTAACTGTCTGTGGGTAACTGTTTCCAGTAAGAAATGCAAGCATCTAGTTACATTGTATGCATTGGTAGTTGTCATCAGACCATGGATAGCCAAAAGCAATTATTCAAAAAGGGGGTTCCCTTCAGCAACATCCTGTCATTGCCAATTACTTCAGGTTGTTGAGTAGCAAGTTCATTATAGGCACTATCAGATTTCAATTTTTATCCTTCTATCAAGCTGCAGTTTTACAAGGTCAGAAGAAGAAAATAACTATGACTCTCAACACTTGGGGCATGGCTTTTTGCACTGTTTATTCAGTGTCAGCTGGAACATTCTCCATTGGTGCATCAGAGAGGATTCCAGATGTAGGATGAGGCTGAACTTCATGTTCTGCATGTCAGTTGTTTTACAGCTTACTTTTGTTCTCCATGCAAGACATCAATCCTTCAGCATCATTTAAGACCAATCCAGTCTTTATTCTAACTTTCACCAAGTGGCATACATAGTTCATGATCTAAATAAAATACCCTTGTGTGGGAGGGCATTTTTAAAATACTGTAGAAATGCTGAGGGGAAAGCCTATTTATGAGGTCACACTGGAGCAGTTTAAAAACTCATTTAAATATGTAATTTCTCAGCAGATTTGATCTAGTATGTGACAGGTTTCTGAAGCTGGCTATTCTAATGTTCTTGTTCTTCAACCATGAATCACTCCAACACTGGCTGTAGTGTAAAGTGGCTTGAACTGGTGTGGCATCGGCAAAGAATGTTATGGGGCAAGAAATTGCTGGGGATGTCCGGTGACAAGGTGACATGGGAAAGAAGTTACTAGTGCTCTGGGGTGAAGGGAAGATGGAGATGTTGGTTGTAAGGTAACTGTCATTAGGTCCAACAGTTCTTTTCTGCTTACAAAGGTTACAGTAATCTAAAAACCGATTGACTCAATCTCACAGTCAGTCCCTATCCACAGTAACTCAGAGACAACTTTTAAGGCAAGAATGAACATCTTCATGCAAGCAGAGCGAAAGAGCATAAGGAAGCAAGGCATAGTGCAGACTTTGCAGTGGAACTTTGCAAAGACTTAGACAAATATCCTAGAGAAATAGTCTGAGAACAACAAGGGCCTTGGTGCAGGGAGAGGAAGCAGGCCAGGCCTGACACAGTTTATCTATGGTCAAAGATTTCCATATTCATTCATTATTCCCTCACTGCCTAACAAGATTTATGGCCTCCCAAGTGGGGAGAAATTCATTTTAAGTCCAAGGAAAATAGAGACTTCTATTTTATTTAACAAATTGCTGCAGATGACCTTGAATATTCTCTCTTCTGAGGGTGCTACACCTCAGAGCTTGGGGAAATCATAGTAACACCAGAATAAGATGGGCATGAAAAACTTAAAAGCTGAAAGAAAAATGGTGAGAACAACGCCAAGACAAAATGGAGGATCTACTTATTCATTGTCTTTACGGTAAGGATTTGCTCACAAATAGTTAATAAAGGATTACAAATTAGCAACAAATGCTGCATGCATGTGACAGATGAGCAACAAAGATCAAAGGTTCATTGCAGAGATAATGTGGTTAAAATGCATAAGGTTTTATGTTTAAAATATATGCATTTCTGCAGCTGTTGACAGGCAGTGAATCAGAGGAATTAGCACTGCATGTGGACACTGTTGATTTTCTTCTTGAAAGCTAGAGTCCACATTCAGTGTTGAGTTAGGAGACAAACATCTAATGTATGTACATCTCTAGAAGGTGTTGGAGATGCCATCCCAGCTGCACAGCAATTTGCAGAAATTTCTGTATCTCTGAATCTTGTTGTGGTTCTGTGGCCATTTCCTATGAAATTCAATATACCTTTCCTTCTTTGCACAGTTGAGAGGAAAGGGAAACGGAGAATCCGGACAACATTCACAGCTGAGCAGCTTCAGGAACTTGAGAAGATTTTCCAAGTGACTCACTACCCAGATGTCCATATTCGCAATCAGTTGGCAGCAAAGATTAACCTACCAGAAGCCAGAGTTCAGGTACATTCTGTCTCCAAAGGGCTAAACTCATTGCACCAATTCTTTACTCAGGATATGTTCTAAATACTTCATGCCTGAGTGACAGCACTAATGAAAAATGTGATCTCTCTGTTGCTTTACATGAGAGGCCAGTATCATTATTCTCCTTTTACAAATAGGGTAAAAAGCATTTGTCACCCAGTTGGGATTAACCAAATGGGATTAATCAAAGGGTTAATAGGTGCTCTGAGTATATTAAATGCATAGCAAATAGGAGTTACAGATGGTTATAAGCAACCTGTTGGACTCTGTAGCAACAGAACTACCATTTACGAAAAAAATATATTGATTATTTATCAACCTTTTATAAGCAATGTAATTCATTGTAATTCACATTGTCCCTCTTCTACAGGTTTTCAAAAATAACTGCCCAAATGGAAGTGCTTTCTTAATGTTTTGTAATTTGATATCACAGACTATAAGTGCCCTGGATATAATTTCAGTGCAGGGAAACTGATCTAGCTTCCCCCAGATGTAATGTCATCCTGATGACAGAGCTCAACACTGACCCCATATGACTGCTGTATGTGAAATATGCTGCACTGAAATATACATATCGCTGGATTTTGGAAATTGGTGTTCTGTTTAGAATGATTGCGATGATTTTTACAGTTTCTTTACTTGTCATAATTCTGAAGTCATCAGTGTATTTCTATGTACATATCCCACTCTAACAATCAAAGTTCACCATAGTACAATTTATTGACTGTGACATGCCTGGGACTATGGACTAACTGTGATGATACTGCTTCAGAGTTAGGTGACAGGGAACATTGGAACAGCACAGCTGCAGTGTGCCCACTAGAAATGCCTGTGCACACATGGCATGTTTCCAATGGCATGAAGCATGAGCTGGGCTACTAGTCAGTGTTCCTGAAAATCAAATCACATGAAAGAACAGAACCGTCTTCCATGTAAAAGAAAAGTAATTTATAGTCAGTGGAGAAAAAGAAAGAAGGAAATAAACTGAATTATCATGGCAAACATCAACCCGAGATGTAGAAGAAAGAAGAAAAAGCCCATCTGAATTCCAGCAAATTCCCTGTGCAGACAGGGGATCTGACATGGAAGTTCTGCATTTATCCCTTTCTTGACTGATAAAAATTTGCCACGGGACTAAAAACTAGCGGTGACTTAAGTACAAGATTATTTTAATTTTGATAGTATTTGTTATGTATAAACAAAAAAGTGCATAAAATTCACGTATGTTTTTTGTGCTTTGAAATGATAGCTTTGACAAGGCTAAAATAAGCTATAAATCAAATCACCTTGGAGAATTTAACAAAAAAAAAAAAAAAAAGTGAGAAATCACTGCAGTAACCATATGAAACATTTCATAACCATGTGAGAAGCCAATCGAGAAACAAATCTGTGATTCTTGCAGAACAATTTAAGTGGACAAATGGAAAAACAACCTTGTATTTGTGCCTATTTGCAACACAAACAAAAGGTGGCCAAGAGGGCCAACAGCATCCTGGCCTGCATTAGAAATAGTGCAGCCAGCAGGAGCAGGGAGGTAATCATCCCCCCACTCAGCTCTGGTGAGGCTGCACCTCAACTATTGTGTTCAGTTTTGGGCCCCTCACTACAAGAAAGACATTGAGGCCCTGGAACATGTTCAGAGAAGGGCAACAAAACTGGTGAGGGGTCTGGAGCACAAGTTTTATGAGGAGCAATTTAGGGAACTGGGATTATTTAGTCTGGAGAAGAGGAGGCTCAGAGGAGACCTCACTGCACTCTACAACTTCCTGAAGGGAGGTTGTGATGAAAAAGGGTTTGACCTCTTCTCCCAGGCAAAAAACAGGAACCGAGGAAATGGCCGCAAGTTGTACCAGAGGAGGTTTAGATTAGACCTCTAAAAAGGAAAAAACTTTTTCTCTCAGATATGTCAGGCACTGGAATGGCTGCCCAGGGAGGTGGTGGAGTCACCGTCCCTGGCAGTGTTCAAGAGGCGTCTGGATGAGGAGCTACAAGATATGGGTTAGTGGCTTGTGGTAGCAGTGGTAATGGGAGGATGGTTGGACTAGATGATCTTGTAGGTCCTTTCCAAACTTGTGATTCTGTGATTCTATGATTCTATGAAAGAGGCTAGATGGGTAAACATTAGAAACAGGAAGTTATAAAAATAAATAAGCAGTGCAAAATGATACAGGCCAAATCTGTAGTCAAAAAAGTAAAGGATCATCAGAAACTCAATAAAAATACATTTAGAGCAAAAAAAAATTTTTTTTAAAGAGGAAGTGAACAATTATATTGATCTTGTACTCAGTAGACTGTCAAGGATAATGCAGAACTGGCAGATCTCTGTCCTTGGAAATATGTCAGATAAGGTGGTGGTGTCACATGATGGTTATGAACACTTTCCATCAGGGCAATGTTGAATAGCGGCTGCAGTCTGACATTTTTAAATCCAGAATCTGTGTGACTTGCTTCTAGTAGCTCTTAAAAAGCTGCTTGAGAAATATCTTGGGTCATCAGTTTGATATCCAGTCAGTCCAGGAGCCCAGGAGATATTTCAGGGACCTGGAAGAGAGTTAATATTATGTCAGTGCTTAAAAGTGTAGACAGAATGACCAGATAATGATTGGCCTGTGAGACAAACATTGACTTTGGAAAAACAATGTTAAAGCTGATATGAGCCTCTGTTAATGATGAATTAAAATAAGAGTGATATATCTAACGCTTTTCATCATTGGCTTATGGAAAACAATGTCATCAAACTTATCTCTTTTTTATTAAATTATATATTTGATTGATAGAGTTAATAACATTGAGGGCATGTGACTGCAAGGACCTTGCCTTGGTCTTACGATGCTCTTGGATTAAGATCAAGATGCCATGTGGTAGTACACAAGAAGCTGAATGTGCAGCAGGCGTCCAATTGCGAACGAGGACATTTCAAAGGAGGTCTCTCATAGAAACCATTTACTGACACAAAGGTCAATTTGTACTACCTAATCTGTAAAATCTTTAATAATCGAGTTATGAAATAGTAAGAAGATAGGGGACTAGTAAATAAGGAAAAAGTTGATTCTTTAGTACAACGTGTTCTGTCTCATTAGTCATGGATCTGCAAGAGAGTAATATGGGGACGAGCACAGAGTAACAGATGGAAGTCATTCCTGCAACATGGGGCACACCACCCTCTCTCCGCACTCTGTTTTAGCCCTTGTTTCCTCAAATATCCCGCTGATCAACCTCCCTCATCCTGCTCCTAGTTAATGCTACTGCTGAGAGGACAAATGAGTCCTCTGTGAAGTCTCAGGCAAGATTAAGGAAGCAGCAGACCCTGGCTTTAGCACCAGCGCGATTTTCACAAGCACACATGAGAATGCTGTGCTTTGTCTCTGTGCCAGTTCAGAAGCACTGGAAAATTGAGGGTTAATAGTAAGCAGAGAAAGAGTAGTATCAGTAGGTTGATGTCTGTGGTGGATGAAACTTGGAGGAATAGGTTTAAATCCCAATGAAGGAAAGTCAAGGTGCACACTGAGAAATAATTTTAGGGGTAGGGGTGTTAGAGAGCCAGTTGGGCAAAATGGTGTTGGTTTGCGTTCTAAACACAGCTGTACCAATATTAAATAATAATAAAAAATCCCTCAAGTGAGTGCTTTATCCAATGTGCAGACTTTGGAAAGAACACTTAAAAGGTTGAATTTTTGGCTTCAGTACACCCCGTACCCTCAATCATTTATCAGTGATAAAGAGGAATTCATTTCATGGTACTGTTTCACCATATAACTCCTGCCTGGTCAAAAGGGAATGGAGCAGTTCATACAGACTAAGCAGTTCTCAAACACATGCAAACCCAGATAAACAAGGCTGTCCTTTCAGTAACCTCAGATAGTGCTAACTATCAGCAATATAGCACAGGTCTTCTGGCATTCGCATTACTTCCTGGGCAAGAGATGCTGGAATAATTGAGCTGTTCATTATCGGATTTAAAATGCATATATATTTACAACCAACAGCATCTGGTTTTGATCCCTAACACCTTGTGTTCACTTGAAGCGCTTGACAAGTAAGAAATGCTTACATTCAAACAACAAGTTACTAAGCCAGCTGGTCCAACAATGGAAATGGAATTTGACTTACACAGCATTGCAACAAGATCTTCTACTACTGTGGCTACACAACTAATACTTCTGTGCCTCATCTAGAAGCCAGACAGTTCAAAGCAGCTGACAGATGAAAGAAACTGCCTTGAGAAAACTGGTTGCTCATCATCATGGGCAAAAGATATGGCAGATAACATATTGAGAGTGCTGAGTGATTCAATAGGTGGCATCTTCTTGAATCTTTTGCTTGGGATCCTTAAATGAATTCCAAAATATTACAAGCCAAATACAGGCTAGTATTATTATACAAGTAAATTACATACAAGTATTATTATACAAGTAAATACCCTGCTACTATATCTCTACTGATAACACAGTCTTTATTGCTTTATATATTTATATATTATAATATTTATTTTTAGAAGATGTGATTCTGTGAGAGAAAAGTGGCTGTTCCAATTATGCAGAGATTCCATATGCTATGCAAAGTGCAAGAGGTGCTGTGTCAAACCCAATGTTTTTCTTTAGGTTCAGCCTCTATTGATGCTGAGCTAGAGGTCAAGGTTCTCTGAACCTCACTTAATGAATAAGAAAATTAGTTGAATGTGAGCAATTTCTTCTATAACAGCTACTCATTTCTATGTCCTTTCTTGCCTGTATCCAGATCTGGTTCCAGAACCAGCGAGCCAAGTGGAGGAAACATGAAAAATTTGGCAACTTTGGTGGCCTTCAGCATCTGACAGAAGTTGATTTCATTCCAGCTCCCAAGTCAGATATTACAGTGAGTACTGGTGGCTATATATAAAGCCAGAGAGAGGAGACAGGTATCCTTCATCAGGTCATTTTGTCACATGGGACTATCTGAGAGAGAGAGAATCAGAAAGTACAAAAAATGGTGACATGATCCAGATAAATCCCAACAATGAATATATTTTTTTTAGCAATAAGTATTATCCCTAAACCTGTTCCATAAATACGCTGTGAGGTCTGTCTCGTAGGGTGGTCCTACCCTATTTTACTACTAAATTTTTTACATTGATTTACATTCCCTGTAAATCATACTTTCAGTCAAGACATCTTTACCACAGCAGGCAATGCCTGAACAGGAAGGAACAGGACATTTCCAACCACAAAGCTGTGTTTCTTTAGCTGGTATCCCTTCACAATGTCCAGCCTTGTTAGGTTGATCTGTGCTTTTTGCCCTCAACCGTTGCCATTTTTAGGACCAGACTAGGCTGGCACACAGACCCCAGTAGTGTTTCCATAGCTATAACAAAGGATATTTTGCCTTGATCCCTGAGTGACAGCACTTCACTGGGTTTTAGGGAGCCTATTCTTCTATTATTTTTTTTTTTTCTTAATTACTGAGCAGGGAAACAAGGATGACTGAAAATTGTATCTAAGTAAAAGTCAGTATTGATTTACCTAAGACTTCATTTTTACTCTTGAAAGGCTCCTAGCTTGATGCCGAGGAAGCTTGCAGCTACCATCCCTTCCATAGGATACTACTCACCACTACAAGGGCAGCTGACAACTACTTGGCTCCCCAGCACACTCTCCTACATCCCCCACCACTTGGAGCTGCTGCCCTTACCAAAACCATACTTGTTCTTCAACGTCCTCCCTGCCTACAGTGCACCACACTCCCACAAGATAGAACAGAGCAGTATCTCTACATAGACAAGGATGTGGAGGAGCAGGGGACTTGGGGAGCATGCCTTTATCATCCATGACAGTTTGTAGGAGGCAGGTGCTCTCCTCAAGCAAATGTGCTGAGATGATAAATGGCATGAAGTCAGCTTCATGAGTACCAACACAAGAAGCTGCAGTCTAGTGAACACTGACAAGAGCCACCATGGACTGGGGAAGGAGATCCGTGTTGATCAGAGGAGCAGCATGTTCTGCAGAAACCAAGCTGTTCAACCAAGAGCATCTCCCTGGAGGGACAGCGCATCGAACTGAATGGTCCTGCAAAAGAACTTGACTTTTACCCAGCCCTGAGATAATACCACATGACTCAATTGCACCGATGCCTTGGAGAAGGAAATATACCTGCTATGAGGAGTATGTAGCCCCAAAGTCGGGCCAAACAGGATTTTCCTCCATAGTTGCTTTCCTTGGACATGCTGGTCTTTACTTGGGGAGGAGCAAAGAACATGTTTAGGTCAAAATATCAGACTTTCAAGATACTTCTGTTTTCCAAATCATTTGGGAGGGAAGGGAGTTGGTTTGGTTTAATGGATGTGTTTTTGACTTGAATAAAGGGACAGGAACATGATTTGAGCTTAAATACAACAGTCTGAGAGGGGCAGCAGGGCTGAGCTCTGGATTTGGTACTGTGAGTCTCTGGGGGCAAGAGAATTCTTCAGTTGGTTAATTAAAATGCTTATGAAGAAGCCTCTCAATTTTTGACCTGAATTAAGAAAGCTCTAAAACTCCATTAGAAACAATAACAAAGAGACGGCCTAACTGAGTTTAATCTACTAGACATAATAGGATGTTATGACCCCACAGTTTGGCTTAATTGTAGATCAATAATGAGATCGGCCTGCCCATTTACAAAATGTCCATATGCCCTATTATTTGCATAATAGTAATCTTTTTCCAACATATGGCTTTTTTCCTGCTTGTTGAGGGTCCAGTGCTCCTTCTGCTGATGTCTCCACTGACTCGTGGGAAACACTATCGGAAGCATTGTTTAAAGGGTTGCATCATTTTCTGTTTTGCAGCCACAACACACGTTGTACACCAATAGGGGAAACTGCTGAGCAAAGGCATTAAAATGTGGTCTCTCTCCCAGACATATGACTTGTTTAAGGCCAGTTTGGATGGGGCTCTGGGCAGCCTGATTTAACACTTGATCTAGTGCCTGGTAACCCTGCCCATGGCAGTGGGGTTTAAACTTGATGATCTCTGAGGTCCCTTCCAACCCAAGCCATTTTAAGATTCTATGATTCTATAACAGATTAGGGTTACAGACTCCCTGCATCCTGGAAGGCTGTTGCTCAACCTCGTGGATCAGGTCATGTTAACCTAAGGACAGCTCAGAAATGAGTGACAGGAGAGTCCCATCTAATCCTGGCCCATGACAAAAATGAAGCATTACTTATCATTACTTATCATAGATATTTAGAGGTTTTACTTCAAATGACAAGGCTATGCAACCTACTTCACAAATACTCTTTGCAATCCCTCACAAAACCCCTTATAACCTTCACAGTTCCTCTCCTATGCTTATGGCCCTGATTTCCATTTTCACACTGACTTGTCTCAATGAGCCAAGCCACCAATATCAGATAAATTAGCCCTCTTCAGCACAAGGAAGACAATCCTGTCAATGATATTTGCACACTGTAGACATCTCTGAGCCTTCAGACTGCCCTGGCTTAGTTCACCTAGCTATCTTGTGTCCTTAATCTTTCCATGCAAATCCTTCAGGGTCATAGGTATTGAGGGCAAGATTCTCAACTGGATCAAAAACAATTAGATGGATGACCAAGGTCCGAGAACCGACGTAAATTAGCACCAATCAAGAAGGTGGAGACTGGAACAAAGTCCAAAGAAGTTGGTGAATATGCATCAAGGAGAAGGGAATGGGGAGAGCAGAGAGTTGGCGGGATCAGGATCAGCTTTGTTCGCAGATCAGCTAATAGGGAGAGATGGCTCTGGAGGGGAAGAAGGCACAGCTGTGCAGGAGGAAATTTGAAAACCACATAGAAACTGGACTATGAGGCTGCCCAACTCCTATTTAGACTATTTAATGTGGAGAACTGGCTATATATGAGACTGAAATTGACATAACTGGGCAGAGCAAGGAGAAACATGCAGTGATTGCTCTTTTGATAAAAAGCTAATTTTGTTGCGCCTTTTCCTTTCCTTTCCTTTCCTTTCCTTTCCTTTCCTTTCCTTTCCTT